ATCAATAGTACTGCCAAACTCAATGAAAATATGAACTTTTGCCAAAAGTTTTCCCGTTTTTGAGGATGTACTCCAACACAGAACATCATGTGCATGCACAATCTGATATTAATGAAATACATATTTCCACTTCAGCTCCTGAGTAGAAATGTTTGAGGCTTTCGATATTCAGCAGTTAGAAAAAGAAATATGTTTTTTTCAACGATTAATTATCGAAATATCCGTATTAGCTATAATTGATGGTTTCGTGTGACTATAACTAGTGAACTCAAACTTCAAACTTTTTTCTCGATATAATGAGGGGTCACAAAAACAATATCAGAAACTCTGGATATTCATAGCTTGGTTCAATGGGATTATATCTACAGGGTGTTTCACTTGAAACTCCGCACGTCATTATCCCAAAAACGAATAGGAATATTTTATTCCTGTAGGAAATAGTCGATGGATAGGGTCAAGTTGATGTTTTCCAAGGTGAAAAAAATTCAACGCCCACTAAGAGCTGAGCGTCGCGACGCGTTGATAATATAAATCAATTGCATCTACTTTGAAATTAGGCGCACGAAACAGTATATTATGTTATTTCCAAACTTTTTTGTTAGATGCTAGAACTCATTCATTTCACTAATTTCTGATGTTATGCCGGTTTATATTGAATATTTTTTGATTGACAAAATTTGCGATCATGCATACATATGATTCTCACAAGAATGTCATGAATATTAGTCACCTTGGCAACATTTGTTATCGCAATTGTTCCAAGTGCAAAACTAAACTAGTGCATGCATAAACTAGAACCGCACACCGAGAAAAATCTAGTAATACTAGTCTTTATTTCAAAACATCCTAAAACTGCTCAATAAAACATTTTAACTACGAAATGTCATCGAATGAAAGAGGAAAGTGAACGTTGTCAACGTGAAACAGGTCACCTTTTCAAATCACTCCTTTTGTTTCAAGGCGGTTACCGTATGGATTTGAAATCGAACGAGATTATATTTGGAAGATGAAATTCGAAAGATAATTATCTGAACCCTGAAAGATGTCATTTTACAGTTATAGAAGTATCATTTAAGTTCTATCCCTTCCTTATTTCTCATCTCTGTCATACTCATTTATCACAATGAGTCATCTCACTCCGGATACCTGATATGAAAGTACATATTAGCCCGTAGCAGCTCGTGAACCCATTTTACGTGGTGATTTTCTTTCCTGAAAGGTGAAGTGGTTGGACGTTCTTCTAGGATTTGTTGAGGAACTACAGGAAGTCCAACTGCATCAGGGCGTTATAGTGTTTTCATCACGATAAATCGATAAGATAACGGGAATTCTTCCAATTTGGATGAAAATTAGCATATTTGAACCAACTCTCTAATATCTATAGTGGCTTAACCTTGGATTTGCACAGTTATATCGATGATAGATAGTATTTCATATACAGTGTGTCCCAGATAAGGATGTCTTCGTATCCTCATCTTGGACACGGTGTATATGTATTTATTTGAATCGAATAATTCCATTTGCTGCCTCAATAAATGTTTTTCGTTTGCGTTTCGTGATTCGTGAACCCTCATTTACTGACGCCACCATATACATTTTTGGCAACTATAAGTTAACTAATAAGCCAAATACTCATGATGTACTTCACTGACACATTTTAAGATAGAAAATTCAACAGGAAATATGATTTTCATGGCGAGTTTTTCCTATTTAGTGAGCAAGCATACCAGATGACGGCCATTTAATCCATATGCAATCCAAATACGAGATGTCAAATGTCAATAGATTGCTTTGGAATGACATTACACACGTCATTATTTCAAATGATATTCTTCCTTCTTTTCACTAAACATGGATAAATCACAAGAAAATCATATTTCTAGTTGACTCATATAATAAAAAAAATGTGTCCAACATTGTGTGATATATAAATTGTCCAATGATGGAAAAAGAAGGGCAAATTGTTCTAAATGTGATTCAGAAGACAGGCGGAAAAGATGGTGAAATTTGTAACTTTATAGTGAAATATCTCGATAAATAGTGGTTTGTCCACATTCTCATTATGAAATTCGTGTTTTTCAGACGAAAATACGTAAGTACAAAAAAAAAATTTCTAAAAAAACCCCATCGCATGATAAGTGCACTTTTACCGCTAATAGATATTATTGTCTTAGGGGTACATCGACTCCTTTTGCTTCATTTCTTCCAGAAATGGGCTGTTCTTTCGTGAAACCAAGGAATGTTTCCGGAGTGGACGACGGCAAATGTGGCCACAGCCTTCGCACTCGCGTGCCTCTGGAGGATCTGGTCTTTTCCTGTGTTTAAGTAGATTCTTGCATTTGAAATTGAGGGAAAGATAAATTGTGCCACACACCAAACCCGTTAGGTGATGGATGTCGAATGACTTTTGCTGTCAGTCCCCGTTTTTCTATATACAGAGTGATATTTTAGAACCATTCGACTGCCCAGTCGACGACAATATTTCTCCCGGTGCAGGTGATCCTGCTAGTAGAATGGATTTCTTAGCCAGATATGTCAACCTTTTTTTCGGCATGATGCAAAATCTCTTGAAAATTTAATGGAGCGACGAGAGTCGATTCCATAATGAAGGAATCGTGAAAAGACACAGTGACAATCTATCCAGAAACCATTCTCGTAGGATCACAAACAGAGGTAATCAGAGAATTTCTGGCATCAATGTTTGATGCTGCATGATAAAAAGATTCATCATTGGGCTTCACTTTGACGAAGGTACTTTGGATGCAGATTGCTATCTAAGATTCCTTCAAACTACAGTTCCGGAACTATTAGAAGAAGATTCCATTGAGCATTAGAATTATCATGATGCTACAGCATGATGGAGTGCCTATTCACAATGTGGAATTTGTAACGAGGTATTTGAACAGAGGGTACCCTAGTGAGATACATTTCAACTCTCGTTGTAGTGAAATATTTCAATTAAACATGTTTCCAATTCTCAAAACCTCATTTTATGTGAATTATTAATGCTGAATCACATTGATTCAGTTCTATTGGAATGTTATGATTTTTGATATTTCAATCTGATCTAATAGTCTGCGGACAGTTTCGAGTACCAAAATACTCTCGGAGAAAAACAAAAGTTTGAGTACACCAGGGAAATCTAGGACAAAAAAAACAACCAAGACGGTGAATTTGGATACTTTATACTATGTACGAGGGCGATGAAGAGACAGACTCACTTGCCCGAGCAGGAGCAAACAAGGCTCTAAATAGCCCAGAACCCTTCTGTGGTATTGGGAAAGCTATTGGAAAGATAAGTACCTATCAAATCATGGATGCAAACCAAATATCAAGGATGGTGGAACAACTCGCTAGGAATGAGACAGGCAAAAGAGTTTATTGAAAAACCATCGCCAACATTCACAGAATATCTACTGAGCCAGAAACGAAGTTCAACTAGAATACTAGTGGGACTTCTCACAGGGCATTGTAGCCCCAACAAACACATGAGTACGATAGGTCTGACTGAAGAACTGCTGTGCAGGCTTTGTCAGGAAGAACAGGAAAAAGCAGTACACATACTTTGCCACTGTGAGGGCTTGTCAAGACTAAGGTTTCTTACGCTGGGTGAGGAAAAACCAGAAGCCCAAATATACACAGGGGATCTAAAAGCTAGCCTATGGAGTCTCATAGAGAAGGCAGAGCTTTTTTTTTATCGATTGGAGCGCACGAAAGGGAATCCCAAAGAACTATAATCGATTTTGAGGGAAGACACAATAGATCTGAAAAGATCGCGGTGTGAAGGCAGATAGCCCGCAGGCCCCATTCTAGATCTAATGTATCATTTGATACTTCTTGACTTGCTTCAACTGACTATTTTACAGAGAAACACATCACTTATAGAATTTCGAAAGAAGAACCCATAACTCAAATACAAAATTGATCTCTGCTGACCAAGGAATCTTTATCACTGTGAATATATCCCTTTTGAAAATACTTCAGTTCGTCGGTCGGTGATAGTCAGTATCTTCAAATCATCGGTCAAGCATGCAGTTCACATCAGTCAGTCTCGTGTCAATTTTTTTATTATACTATACGCTAGAGACATACAGGTATTGAATATGACTCAACAGTGTTCGACTTTGTCTCAAGCACAGAATACCAAACAAAAGCATTGAAAAGGTGTGTATATATTAGGTCATATAGGTACCAACCCATACTTATATACATACCAATCCTATGTTTTATTGAATATTTCTTAAGTCAAAATTTTCTGGAGTAGTGAATACAAATAATCTGAATATTATCATTGATTTTCACCCAATTCACTTTACAGCACGACACGGTTTGCCTGAAACATATGACCTCAAATTAGTTTCATTCGTTTTTTGAAGTTTCGACGTATGCCAAAGAAATATTATACAGACTGTACTTGTGATTTGTCAGGTAGAGTTGTCTCGGTTTGAATTCTGGCAGGGTTCAGTATCTTTATAAGCAGTCAACAGGTGTATTGCCAAATACGTCACTCCCTAAGTAGATGTCGTGGTGAAAAGTACTGCAGCATTATAAATAAAACCGAATAATCTCATAATACTATAGGTACTCTCTCTAATCTGCTCAGGCGTGGCTTATCGGCAGATACTCCAGGCACTTTTGCAAATTATACTAATATTTTGAATATCGAAGTCTTATACCGACACAACTTTATATTTCGAAGTGCCCATTGTCAATTTGAAGTGGCAATTGCCCCAAATTTTTTTGTAATTGCCACCGCAAACTGAAAATTGCACTTCGAAATGAATGGAAATAAAAAGGAAATAACTAATTTGAAACATTTTTCAGTGATATTCTATCTGACGTTGCATGGTCTCCTGTCAGATCGTTGATTAAAACTTCAAACTCCACGTTTCCAAGGTTGTCAATATTGCCGTGGTAACTTTAAAACAGACGCGTTTTTGAAAGATGGATTTCTCAACACGCTGAGGCGTGCTCCAATAATGTAAAAAAAATCACAAACGAAAGAAAGAAATGAATTGTATTCAGGCTACAGTATAATACTAATTGAATATCATAGGATGCATCTCTGAACAATATCACAGGGCTTTGATGCAACGAAATATTTTCAGTTCAAGATTTGTTATATTGTTTGGTGGTATGGTGATTATATTTTTGATGAATGATCTAGAAAACTTCCGAAATCAGTGCTGATATTGGAATTTCCAGCGGTTTCTTTCGTGTTTTCATCCACAATAATCTTCACTGGACTTCTTGATCTTGATATTCCTGAACTACCAGGCGAACGAAAAACTTCTTCAGTGGTTTCTTCATCATCTTGCTCTGAAAACGGATAATTATCATTTCAGGAGATAAAATAATATATTTTACTGATTACCTAGGTAACTTGGATGTTTAAATCGATCTCTCCATATTCTGAATACAACGTAGCCACCTATTCCTAGTAAGACCAATGTTATTAGGATGATCAAAATACGGATTGTGTTTATCTGAAACAAAAATAGAATCAATTCAGATGATCTACTCCTTTCATTCCATGAAAGTAAGTGGATTTTCTCTGATTATTCCAGCTGGCTGAATATTCGTAGTGGTGAAAATCACCTAGTGAAAAAATATGTAGGTATGCACTGTAGGGACCAAAGTCGTACGTTCTCTTCCTAGGAAGGAGAAGTTCGTTTTTTACGGCTATATCACAAAATTGCTCTCCTTTCACTGTGTTCGATACATCAATGAGGAACTTCGTTCGTCATCAATTTCATTTCCGTATATGATATCACAATGACTTCATTGTGTATGTCAAATAAATCTCCTCGTCATTGGATTGTCAAATTTTGAGCAATGATAGCTCTGTCTGATAGATGAGCATTATTTGAGAGGAAATCAGTTGGCTACAAGACGACGAAATCAAAAATGTCGCTGTTATCTGTTACAGCCGTAGAACAATGATAGTGTATAACTCGCACGGAATGCAAATTTCTTGCTCGAATGATTGCAGCCTTCGCGTTCGGCTCATGCTGCAAACTTCATTCTTATGAGAAATCACTATCATTCCGTGCTGAAAACAAGTGATAGTGACGTCATAGTACGTCATCAATGAAATAACTCATACGACATTAACGATCTGAACTGTATTCTATTATACAGAGTTATTCGACACAAAGCCTTGTGGTTCATGAATTAGGATTTTTGACAGTTTTTTTTTTCGAAAGAATATGGAACTATGTGCCAGAAACACTGAATTTTTCAGATTTGCTACTTTTTCAATGGAGAATTGCCTGTATCAATGCATTTTCAGATTCTTCCTAGAAAGCTGATTTCATCAATACATCATACTAGCAGAAATGATTACAAAGATATAGGAAGTTTAAAATCGAGAATTTTCAAAGTTAGGATTTTTTTGTGCCGAATATATTCATTATTGGTCAAAACGGCTTACATGTCACAATCCTAACTTTCGATTCAATATCTACTGACAGTCAATTGGAACAGATACAGAGTGGTTGAAGATTCAGAGTCCTGATCACCCTGTATATATTCCAATTCAATCACTCTACTACAAATTGAAAATATGTGGGATGAAAGAATCAAAATAACGTGCATGAAAGTTTTACGATACCTAGTACTTGGTTTTAGTACTTTAATAAAATTTGTTTGTCAGTTATTTGAGGATGGCGGACAATTTATACTCCTTCCTTGAAAGATTATTGCCCTCCGCTACGCGTCAGGCAGTAAACTTCATCCTTTCCATCCACTTTCCGCCGTTGTTATAAAAAAAAACAATATTCAAACTTGATATTGACTACTCGTTACAATTTGGAACAATATTTTCACTAGTATGAATTCTTTTCCGACAATACTTTAGACGAACCCAATTCATTTTACAGGGTTTCTATTCTCATTTGAAACATTTTCTGATTCTGTATGCATAACTATGCCCTAATACAACATTCACAGTGAGATAGAACATTTTGGATGCACTATCAATCGACTGGATTCCAGAGCTAACTCTGATTGTATCATCATTATCATATAGTAATTCAATGATAGCGTGATCAGTGGTGTTCATTCACGCCTGCCTAGCTAGAAATACTTGCAAGAGTAGAATATATATTGAAGCAATGAATAACTGCAGCCAGACAGAAGATGCATCTCAAGAATCATACAATGCCAAAATATGATCAAAACTTATAAATTGTCCTGATGGCACCCATTTATTTTGGTCCCTCGCTAAAGCAGTCGCAAGGAATTTCACTAATAGTTCATTTTTCCCACATCGCAAGAGAAAGCGCATATTTTTGCAGAAATGTTTGCAATAAAGTTCACCTTGGGTTCCCAGAAAAGAGTACCGCTGGAAAGTCCACCCGTTGAAAGTGAAATGCCCAGAATCGTCTGTCGTCAACTTACTATCAGACGCATTTTGTTCGGTCCCAGTACAAATAGGCTGACAGTTCTGATGGAATTTCACTCATCATTTTCGAAAAATGTGCACCAGAATTGACACAGTTCCTCTGCAACCTTTTCACCATCTCCCACAAGTCGGGTATTTGTGGAAAATAGCTAGAGTCCAACCAAAAACAAAAGCCTGCCCAACAACTATAGGCCAATTGCCCTGTTATCAGGCATCTTCAAAGTAATGGAGAAAGCCATCAAGATTGAGCTGACAAATATCAAGAAAGGTCAGGAATTATCAATGCTTGATAATATGGCTTTCACCACCTAAGATCAACTTGAGATTTACTTGCCTACGTCACCTATATAATTTGCAAGCTCCATTATAAAAACATGTAGAATCTCTGCTGTAGCGTTTGTTTTTTATTGACCATGATCTAAATTTCAACGGTAAGAAAACTCAAGTAATTCGTTTTCATTACTATAAACAGCCATCAGTTGAATTACAACTGGATCTCAATAAAACAGTCTGGTTCGTTGAGGATGCAGTTAAATTTCTTGGAATTTACTTTGATAAACACGTCAACTGGGTGTCACACTGTAAGGGTCTAATCTCTAAATCACACTCATCCCATTACATGTTCAAGAACTTGAAAACAGTACTAGATGTTGGCCAGCTTGTAAATATCTATTATGCACAAATTGAATCGCGTCTTCGTTATGGCATTTTCTTGTGGGGTATCTCTTCCAAGTCAAAAGATGTTTTTATTGCACAAAAGGCAATTATGAGGTGCATTTTCAACATTCCTCGTAGAGAAACCTTCAAACTAATTTTCCAATCCAGTAATATTTTTACTCTCGCTAGTTTATACATTTTGAAATTGCATGTTATATTTATTGCAATATTGCCTATTTCAAGCTCAATAAACACATTCATTACATGAATATACACATCCAGGAAGACTCAATTATTCACACACAAATTGAAGAATACGAAGTAGCCCAAAATGCACCTAACTTTATAGGACCACGTATTTCCAATCATTTATCTGAGCATATTAAATCAAGTTTAACAAATAGAATTTTCGAAACGCGCCTCGAAACATTCTTGGTGCAAAATTCTTTTCATACTGTGCAAGATTTCTTGGATCGTCCGGTACAGTGATATTTTTTATATTGTATTTTGTTTATGTGTATCTATGTTTTGTGTTTTATGTATTTTTACAAGAATTCTGACGTTTCCGACACAATGTTATTATTGTCTGAAGGAACAAAAATTTGATTGATTGATTGATTAAGATATATCGAAGGTATGCAACCGTGAAAAACACCGAAAAGAATGCTCTACGAACTACCATCATACGGGTTACCACCTCAGCATTTCCATTTCCGTCCAGAAAACTAAGAACTTACGGCTGAGGCAGGCCAACGCCGTCTGAAGATCTTTCATGAATTAGATCCTGGGGAACCATAACAACCTAGTTGAATTTAACTCCACCAAAAATCAGGCCTAATTTTTCTCTAGAAAGGCGTAACTCGGTATGGCTGATATAACAATATCTGTTATCACAATTCTCACCAAGATCACTCTGTCATTGAGAAATAAGGTCCATTCCATCGCTAAAGCTGCTTCAAAAAACTCGGATTTTTGTAGCCTAGTTACTTTAGCAATAATGTTCAGCAATATTTTTTATTTTTTCCGTTACGCATTCTGCGATAACAATTTTCCAGTATGTTTATTGAGGATAGTCAAGGAAGAAATGTACTAATCCAAACAGATTTTCCGGATGTCCAGGGCCGGACAGGGGCCAGCAATATTTTATATCTTTCTTATTAGGGATCCTGCCACTTACATATTTCCGTATGTCATTCGGAAAGACAAAACGAAGAAATGTACAGTATCAGAATATTTAATCCGGGCGTCCAGGGCCGGACAGGGGCCAGCAATATTTTATAACTTCCTTATTAGGGATCCTGCCACTTACATATTTCAGTATGTTATTCAGAAAGACAAAACGAAGAAATGTACAGTATCAGAATATTTAATCCGGGCGTCCAGGGCTGGACAGGAGCAAGCAATATTTTATAACTTTCTTATTAGGGATCCTGCCACATACATATTTCAGTATGTTATTCAGAAAGACAAAACGAAGAAATGTACAGTATCAGAATATTCAATCCGGGCGTCCAGGGCCGGACAGGGGCCAGCAATATTTTATAACTTTCTTATTAGAGATCCTGCCACTTACATATTTCAGTATGTTATTCAGAAAGACAAAACGAAGAAATGTACAGTATCAGAATATTTAATCCGGGCGTCCAGGGCCGGACAGGGGCCAGCAATATTATATAACTTTCTTATTAGGGATCCTGCCACTCACATATTTCAGTATGTCATTCAGAAAGACAAAACGAAGGAATGTACAGTATCAGAATATTTAATCCGGGCGTCCAGGGCCGGACAGGAGCCAGCAATATTTTATAACTTTCTTATTAGGGATCCTGCCACTTACATATTTCAGTATGTTATTCAGAAAGATAAAACGAAGAAATGTACAGTATCAGCATATTTAATCCGGGCGTCCAGGGCCGGACAGGGGCAAGCAATATTTTATAACTTTCTTATTAGGGATCCTGCCACTTACATATTTCAGTATGTCATTCAGAAAGACAAAACGAGGAAATGTACAGTATCAGAATATTTAATCCGGGCGTCCAGGGCCGGACAGGGGCCAGCAATATTTTATAACTTTCTTATTAGGGATCCTGCCACTTACATATTTCAGTATGTCATTCAGAAAGACAAAACGAAGAAATGTACAGTATCAAAATATTTAATCCGGGCGTCCAGGGCCGGACAGGGGTCAGCAATATTTTATAACTCTCTTATTAGGGATCCTGCCACTTACATATTTCAGTATGTCATTCAGAAAGACAAAACGAGGAAATTTACAGTATCAGAATATTTAATCCGGGCGTCCAGGGCCGGACAGGGGCCAGCAATATTTTATAACTTTCTTATTAGGGATCCTGCCACTTACATATTTCAGTATGTTATTCAGAAAGATAAAACGAAGAAATGTACAGTATCAGAATATTT